CTAAACCCTAAACCCTAAAGGGCGGAGTGCCGAGGCACCATGATCTCTTGGGAGAGCTTGCTGAGCTTGCCGCGAGTTTGCATTGGGCGTAGGGCATTTCCCACATGCTTCCTTGGCGATGAGTTCTTAGTGCTTCGGGTTTCGCTTTTTTTTTTTTTTGGGGGGGGGGGGGGAGTTCAGGGGTTGGCAGGTTTTAGGGTCCGGATTGGGGCTTCGGGCACTTGGCGCCTTGGTGCCTCTCGGTCAGAAGCCACACTCCTCTTCGCAAAACCCGCCCATCATCCAAACCCGAAGCCCTGGAAATCCTACCAGCAAAGTGGTTTGCAACCTCTAGACACGATCCGGCAACAAGATCCTTTCTGTAAGATTCATGACCGCGTGCCGCAAGAATCCCTAGCGGTCTGAAAGTGGGTTCGGTTTGGCCATGCAGCCTCAACTCCACACCCGACCGTACGATGGCCGGCCATGCCAGATGCACTGCCACTCAGACTTCCGACTACCCTTTCCATGAATGCCTCGCCCCCACCCATACACCAAAACATCCTCCAAGTCTCTCAATTCGCTTCCTTTCCAGTGGCTTCAGGCCCAAATCGTCCGCAAAGTCCTGCCAGTTCCTGAGGTTTGAAGGTGCTCTTTGCTTTGAAAAGTTGAGTCGAAGCCAGTTCACTGTATCTCCCTCGGGATTTTGGTGACCTGCGGTGGCTTTTTTACATGTCAGGTGTCGTAAGAACCACACCGGAGCTTCCAGGCCCCTTGCTAAGGGAACTCCTGATGATAATCGAAAGATTTCCATAGCACGGGCATGGGAGCCTGGAGCTCGGCGGTTGCAGTTTCAGCAGGCATGCCATGCGTCTGAACCTGGGGTATCGGGTCGTTCAGCCGCAGACACCCCCATGAGCGACATGTGAAGATGTCACCGAATCACGTTGCCGCGAAGCCTCCACATGAATCCGAAGCCGGATGCATGAACGCAAGCTAAGCCAATCCTAAACCCTAAACCCAGCTGAGCCCAAGCACGAACCCAAAGCCTTCAACATGACTTAAACCCTCGATGCAGGCCCTTCTGGGAGTATTCTCTTTGCAAAGCTTCAAGTTGAGGGCCTGAACCGCCAACTTAAATCCGTAGTCCCCGAGCCTACTGAGACCCTAAAGAGGCAGGGACAGGGCACCTTCGTTCTGAGGTTTCGGGCTTAAGCGACTTAAGTTTATGATTACATACAAGACTATAAGACTAGCGTCTGCAAGGTCCCGACCGTTTAGACTGAATCCCACACAGAAACCTAAGATAAGAGTAGTACGAACTGTCATCACCGTAAGAACAGGCATCTTAGTAACCTCAGTATAACCTTTTAAGTACCGAGAATTGGGGCCCGCCATGTGTTGCACTCTATAATACGATGCGTAAGCCCCCCAAAAAGTTGGAAACCGGAGTAAAGAGACTTCGTGCTGGGACTCCCTATACATTACTCTTACGGGTTGAGGCTATTGGGCTTCCAGGTTCTGGGCTTCTTAACCCCAAACCCTAAAACCCTAAACCCTAGAACCTTAAATTATAAGGACTAAAGAAAGCCCTACAGCCCTAAGCCCTCTTTGCGGACAAGCCCTAAAACCCTAACAAACCCTATAAAACCCGAAAGCCCTAAATCCTACAACCCTAAAAACCCTAACCCAATAGCCTCCGATCCGAGCAACGACAAGTGTGAATCCTTAACGGTTTAGTGTTTAGGGTTTACGGCTAAACCCTACCATACCCTACCACTGTTGTAGCACACCCATTTCTTCGTATAACAGATCCTAACCATAAAACTAGGTACCTTCAAAAAGGGATAGGGTATGACCCTTTAGGTAAGTAACCCTAAACCCTAAACCCTACTTCTTCATTTTTTCTAACCATCAAACCAGGTACCTTCAAAAAAAGGGGATAGGGTATGACCCTTTAGGTGAAGTCTCGACTCCCAAAGCCCATTTTGCATCAGGACTCTTAGGGTTTAGGGTCTACTAAACTTAAAGCCCTGAAGATTTGAACAGATCCTGAGTCCTAAACTCTTAATCTCAGAAACTACCATTGTAGTTCCTTTTTTTCGTTAACCAAATCTATACTGTAGGATCCTAACCATAAAGTTGGTTAACCATAAAACGGAACTCCAATGGCGACTATAGGCAGGTGTTAGTCCATGTGCTCATATAGTATATGCATTGGCCGTAATGTGATCCCTAAACCCTAAACCCTAAACCCTGTATAATGTCAGAAACTATGACCCAAAACCTTCAGCCCGAAGCTCGAAGTCTCCAAAGCCCTGACCCCTAGCCCCTAAACCAGCAACCCTAATCTCAAAAAGCCGGCCCGTAAACACCGAACTCTAAGCCCTAATACCAAAACAAGACCTTACCTGTAGTCTCCATTGTGGTTCCTTTTTTTGGGTTTAACTAGTAATATATTAAGTATTTTATAAGGCATCCCCAAAAAGGAACTTCAATAAAGACTATAGGTAAATCCTAGTAATCTCTAACCCCACAACCCTCAAGAAGGAAACCTATCATCGAATACATCCAAGATGCTCCAAGACTTCGGACAGGTCGATGGCTCCTTGGGGGTTTTGGGAGTTTAGGTCCAGGGGTTTAGGGTTTAGGGCATTCAGTGTTTGATTATATCTTCCAGGACGTATACAAATTAAGGTTCTTTAGGGTCCAGGCAGGGTTTGGGTTTGGGATGCAAGGATCGTTGTCAGGGATCTTCGGGTTAAGGGTTCAAGTTATAGGGCGGCAGGACTGCGAGACCAACAGTCACAAAACACTCATCACCACAGGCTGAAGCCGCAAGGTACACCAAACGATATCCTAGCCCCAGCACCCTAGACTCCAAAGCAACAAGCTCTCCCCCAACCCTCCTCTACTCGAGCTTAGCCCGCCCCCGCTCCCGAACCTTAAACCCTAAACCCAAACTGTGCGCAAAGTGGCCATTCTCGATCCACCACTCCCTGGCCTCATGGTTTCAGGGTCTATAGGCTAATGCCCTTAAAGACGGTTTAGGTGGTGAATACAGGGTATAGGGTTTTGCGGGTTAGGTGGTGAAGGAGGGCAGTTGTGGGTGTCGGATACCGCTGTTACGTCCAAACTGAGCTTCGGGTGAGCTGTCTAGACAAAAAGACCAAAACCCTTTAAGCCCTAAATACCAAACAGCCTTCTGACCTTAAGCTGTAGGGCTTCAAATTACAGCCCAGTTGGGTCGTCTCCAATATCGCCAAGGCAAGCAGTGTTACGGGCTTAGACTGGAAAATGGAACAGACCTCCTTGGTAAGGGCTTTCTTCTTTTCGGTTCTGTAGATTGTAGGGTTTAGGGCTTAGGGTTTGTTGAATTTGGCCAAGGAGGCATGCCGATCAGCCCGGGACACCGAAGCCATGAAATGTAAACTTATACTGCAGGCAGAGCACCCGCAGAGTACTGCCGAGGATGCCCCAGTCTTACCTGAAGTCCGAAGCATAATCTCAACCAAACTCCTCAGTAAGCCGTAACGGATACACCCCTTGACGAGTCCATCCCGACACCCGAACGGCCTAAGTACTAAACTCTGAACCCCCAATTTCGAAACCCTAAAAGCCTGACCCCCTAGACCCCTTACAGAAAAGTCATCTTGACCGTTATTGCGTAGTGCTTCTATGCCGTAAGAAAGAAGCCTGGTCCAGGTACGGCAGAAGATTCAGGCTGGCAAGCCAATCCTGGTACAGGATTCAGTCAAGCGACATAGGCTGTGTAGGCAATTCACAAGAGATTTGAGAACTTCAGATGGAGTCGGTTTTACGTTTGAGTCTTGCGGAATGTACTTAAGCGCCCTCAGCTGCGTTGAATAGCATTGCAATTCCCTGTTATATAGAAAAACGATCCCAAAGCAGGGAAGATTTCTCGCTATTTCGAGCACGGCGAATACTCTTCCGAGTACGGGGCACTTAGTCTGAATCTCAAACGTACATGCCCAAAACCTGCAGAGTTACGGCTTAAGTTTAGGGTTTTGGGGTTCCGGGCCTAGGGTCAACTTCAAAATCGATCCCGGTCAAACCGGAACTCACAGGGCATGGCCCGTGTACTCTGCACACACGATCTGCTCTGCTATGCTTTGCCAATAGCCATCTCGATTCTGTAATGGGGGGGCCGAAACACCCGAACCAACACGGCCAATATCCCAATGTCGAGCAATCGCGGAACCCTGAAACCTAAACGTAACCCTAAGCCACGTCTCCGTGAAGTCTTGGGGCGGCGTAGCTTCTGCCATGGCATCAGCGGGACTGGTGCCATCGGCACCCCTAACTCGCTTAACCCGATCTTTGCGGTTTAGGGCTTTAGGGTTTTACGGTGTGGGCTCATAACTCCGTGCGTTTCAAGCAAATTTGACTGGGTGTGCTATAGCGACGCCAAACTCAAAGATGCCCCCACACTTCCCACCCTAAGAGCGAGCCTTCTCCAGTCTGAAAAAAAACTGGCCTGAACCCCAAGCCTCACTCTAAGAGCCCGAATTGCCCTTAATCTTGAGAGCACTAAACAACAAACTTCAAACCCTAACAACCCTACGCCCTATAAATTATAAGCCCTACACCTTTAAACCCCTAGACCCCAACCCTACGCACCCTGAGGGCTTGCCACTACCGGAGCCGGAGGCCTGCCACAAAGGATCCAAAGAAGAGGGCTTAGAGGTTTTGTTGTTTTCATGGGTTTCACAGTCGGACGGTTCCCGAAGGGTTGTATGCATGTATGTATGTGTGTATGTATATACATGTATTTGTTGCTATCTCTCTCTCTCTCTATCTTTCTCTCTCTCTCTCTCCCCATTCATCCATCCATCCACCGACCCACCCAGCCAGCCAGCCAGCCATTCATTCATTCATCTGCATCATCCAAACATGCATCCATGCATCCAACCGTCCCATCCATCCATCCATCCATCCATCCATCCATCCATCCATCCATCCATCCATCCATCCAAACATCCATCCTGCAATCCATCCATCCATCCTAACATCCATCCAAACATCCATCCTGCAATCCGTCCTGCAATCCATCCATCCATCCATCCATCCATCCATCCATCCATCCATCCATCCATCCATCCCTCCACGTATCTGTCTCTCTGTCTGTTTACCTATCGGCCTATCTACCTATCTATCTATGTGTATGTGTCGATGTTTCTATCTACCTATCTATGTGTCCCTCTCTATCTCAGCTCTGTCTGTAAAAAAGCAGGCTGTTCCACAGCTGTCATTCGTACTCAGAGGCTTCGGCATCTACATGCATGCACATGTGTTTCGAGTTCCATACTCGATCACAGGCAAACGTGCGTACATTTCGCTGCGGACACAACACACTCTTTGACGCGCACCACAATCGCCCGTGCACATGAATGCAAACACAGAGATGCACAGTGTCGTGGAATCGAGTCCTGCATCCTAGACACTAAACCCTCTTGGCTCTCAAGTTAGAGCGGCACTGCAGAGTGGTGGTTCTGCGAAAGCTCAGCTGTGTACGTATATGTAAGGGTTGTGTCTGGATGAACGCCCTTTCGCACAAGGCTTCTTCTCTCGTACGAGAGCTTCAGAGCCGTATTCAAGTCCAGTTATGAGCGCAGGGGTTGGCAACAGGCTGCCGCGGGCCAGGCCAAGTACGAAGCCGGGATGTCAGCAACAGAGCACCACAGAAATACCCAGATCCCGAACCCCTGCCACAGGTGATGCTTCTGAAAACGGGGGGTTCCTAGTCACGAACTAACCAACCCCAGAAAGCATCCTCACCTGCTGACAGCAGTCATTGCAACTCTTCACAACCCGCCTTTAACTCAGCATCCCTACAGCAACACTCTAACCACAGCTCGGCGAAACAGCACCCTGAAGTCCTAAACCCGAAACCCCATAAGTGCTTTTCCAGGCTTAACCCCACTTCTCCGCAGACTTCGACCGCTGCTTCTCCAAGACGGTCGCCTTGTCCTCAGAACCCAAGCGGAGGATCTACACAGCTTAGGGTTTAGGGGTTCGGGCAAGGTAACGGGTTTATGTAGATCCCCCGTTGGGGGCCCCTATACCACTTTTGGGGGAACTCACTTCATACCCTAAACCCTGCACCCCATACCACTAAAGGACCCCTTCTTCAGAGATTTACTCTTTGGATCCTGTAGAGGGGTACTTACAAACTTAGGGCTGACAGAGTACCCTCGCCCAAACAGGTTAAGCTTGCAGTTATGGTAAGGATCGGCATATACCCCTCTGAATCCAACGCTTGCAAATAGTGCAGACATTGCATTAAGACCACGTTAAATATGGTCATACCCCCATATAGGGCCTACGCTCACAATTTTCATGGTCATACCCATATACCCTATATTTCCATATATACCCAAGCTATTGTTTTAGGTTTGACATCGCTTTATGATGGACATGCATCTCGATTCTTGTACATCAACCAGAAGCCAGAGAAAGCCTTCAAGACCCTGAAACGGGACGCCTTGACAAACCCTTCAAAAGGCAACCAGCAAAACTGTAGGCCCTGAGCTCTCTGAACAATATGAAGAGCTGGATAACAAAGACTCTTCGGAGACTGAATATGTATGCATGACGATCAACCCCATCTCGAACTCTATCCGGAAGTTCGCGACCTAAAGCTTGAGGCCTGGGGTCACTGATGCTACATTGGGTTGTTGGTCTGGTTCCGGTTAAACTTTGAAGGCACCTCGTGGGTTGAGGGTTTTGAGGGTTGCAAGGCCTTGGGCCGGGTTTTGTCTTGAAGGCTTCGAATTACTGATGAGGCGCTTAAGATTTAGGGCTGAGGGCTAAGGCTAGGGTTCTTTAAAACCTCTAAACCCGTCCGGAAGTCGACAAAACTTAAAAACTGTTCAGGCCACCCAGGGTTCTCCTACTCAAGGTTCAGGGTGCAGGGTTTAGGGTTCCAAAGAAACCCTCTAAATCCCAAACATCCAAAACACTTACAACTTTTCAGGCTTCCCAGGGCTGAGCTCGAGAGCTTCCGAACTGTCCGGCGTACAGCACAAGACGATGAGCCTGATGCAACCACGATGTCAAGGGTAAGCCAGGTGCATCGCCAAAGGACAGCTGGCCAGCTACACTAGACTCATGCAGTCTATGTGTAACTAGCCAACTGCAGGACCACCCAGAGCATGCACATCCTCGCATTCACAGCAGTGGGCAGCAATCACTTCAGCGGCTTCGATGCCCCCAGTCTGAGAAGCCACCGCGTCAAGAGACGAAATTCAAGGCCCACTTTGGGCAATTTCTCCGTGAGTGTTTTCATCTGCCCCATATAATCTTCGTCCTGGAAGCAATGCCAATGGCGGCTGTTTAAGCGCCACTCCCGGGTCTCCTCTGCAATGTGAAGGAAAACGTGAAGTTTGGGTATCACTTTATAACGGTGGCAGTTCCGTGCCGCCGACACCTTGATCAGGTGCTTGTACAAGCGTAGAAATGCCAGCACCGCCTCCTGGATCTCACGGGCTTGATCAGCGCTCAAGTATCGAGGTGCCCGCTCACCCCGATCAAAGAAGCACGCCAGGCATTCCGCGGCTGCCAGAGCCAGCCGGCTCTCCTTGTTCAGCAGGTCATCACCTGTTCCCAGGAGCCCCTTAAGGGCTACCGAAAGAAACAGCAGCATCAGTCTGCCATTCCAAGCCTTCAGCTTCAAGATGGGGTAGACCCCCCCCTCCATTTCAAGTTGGCCAGCGGTCATCGTTGCCACGGAGTGCCTCGGCGTTTTCTTTATATTGTTGGATTGCAACCCGGTGCTTGATTAGAACTCGGGTTATATATTCAACCTGCAGCTAGTTATTCTGACGACCACACTGCAACAAAGCTTGGAGGCCTGATCGGCTAGCTATATTATCCAAGCTGGCACTCAGAAAAAACACTGCATCCTGATCTGATGATCTAGCTCGACAGCAGCAACACACGGAAGGGCTTCGCATTCGTAGCCTACCACATCGCAATTCGTCAAACTGCCGCGCACGTGTGGAATCATGACATGCAACCACTCATGCGGCAAGTGGTGCAGTCGCACCCACATGCATCCACGTTGCTCGATCGGTACGATATGCGAAGCTGCTGGGTCTAGCTCTGGATTATAATGAACAACGTGCTCCAACAGTGCTATGTGACATGTCCGATTCCAAGTGCACCATGCGAGTGTCTGCTTCGTCGTCGTTATATATCTAATTACACAAGCGTTGGCTTCGGCGGGGGGTACACCATTATACCATAAACCCCCATTCCCCTAATAACCTCGTTAACCCTACATTCAGGCATCGCTTATCCTCAGATTGTCTGCGGAGTAACCTCGAGCTAAACCCCTAAGCCCCGGAACCTCTGCTGTGTTCAACTTCGCACTACCTCGTCGTCCTCGCTTCAACATCAACAGATTGCCCAAGCATGCATGAGTACACCGGATGCCCTTCGCTCAGCTGCAAAAACTTTGTTACCGGTGACCAGTACCGATCAACTTCTCTGAACTCGGCCCTCGTAGTAGTAGTAGTAGTAGTAGTAGTAGTAGTAGTAGTAGTAATAATAGTATAGTGCCGAAGAAGCAGTACTTATAAGTAGTGTAGTAGTAGTAGTAGTAGTAGTACTAGCAGTACTAGTAGTAGTAGTACTAGTAGTATAGTAGTAGCAGCAGCAGCAGCAGGAGTGGTAGGTAGTAGCAGCTCTCAGGTAGTTGCTCAATTGCAGTACGAGTTTCACGACTAGTGCTGCCTGGCAGCATCTACTAGCAACGACAGTTGCGGCAGCAGCAGCAGCCGCAGAGCAGTACACTATGCTAATCGCCCCGAGACAAAGCCGTCGCTACACCCTAAACTCCCAACCCTCACTTCAAACATTATATATATACACATATCGTTAACAATATATTTTTTATAAGGTACCCTGCATCCCGATGCCCTAATAATAATGCCGCCATGAATTGGCAGCGGCGTCTGCTGCTGGGAGGCTATTCCAAGCTTTGCTGTCGGTGTAGCAGGGTGTAAGGACCCGTACCCGTAATTAGGGCTAGATTGAACATCGGGGCTTGGGTTTCAAAACTTTTTGGGCTTGGTGCTTTGCTCAGAATCAAAGGTTTTCATGCAAAGCCGGAACTATCGATAACGAAATTGCTTGAACTTTTAGGGTTCGGGCTATACTCCTTTATAGGGTCCGGGTTTGCCACCTGGCCCAGCTGCCGTTGCGAGTTGCAGCTCGCCCAAGATTTGAAGCGTCCACATAGCTGAATCATCTGCTCTGCCCGCTT